TACTCGTTTATCTACTTCAAAAGAGGAGGAAAAAGAAGTTACCTGAACCCTTGGTTGAGAGGCTGACGCTCGACTGCTTGAACAATCCCGGAGAAGAAGCAACGTCTGACTAATTCATTTTCCAAGGAAATTTTTGTTTAAGGCAATGATTGACAATCGAACCCGACACCTCGAGTTCTTTCGCACTGTGCCACCTGTCGACTGAGCAGCTCCAGCCCGTGCTTACCGACTTTATTTACTTAGATACTGTGCTCATAAAGAAGAGACTGCTGACTAATGGCGTCAGAAAGCAAATGAGTTAAAGAACGGCGCAATCTCTGACGCCGTGAGGTATAAAAGATATAAATATGCAAATTTACAACGGTTTAAACATTGCATCGCTCTCAGAGCCTGCGCATCAGTTGCGTCTAAGCTGGAACAATCGCAATCGCGTTCGAAGGAAAAACGCCAAACGAGTAATGATTCAGCTGTATACATTCAGCGCTTGTGCGGTATCGAAACAATGAAGTGGGATATTCTGGAGAACCAGCCAATGCACCTATTGCCGAGGAACAGCGAATGCTCACGTGGAGGGGAGTATCGCCTGAGGTAGGTCGTCTGCACCGTACCGACTGCGCCTGGTGAACGTTTATCATGTGTTATCGTTTGACGTTCGTCATGGTTTTCCCGAACACGTGATGGGAAGATTCAGGGGACAAAAACTGGTTAATACGCAATGGTGCAGCATTCGGCGAAAAATCCGGCAGAAACAGACGCAGCGATGTCGCCGGCATACGAAGACGGTGGACCTGTCGTCGATGAACAGTGGTCCCAAACAAAGACGCCGCCGAAGACTTCCGCCAAGAAAATGGAGAAGAACGAGTTCAACTGGGCGTTCTTCAAACGCTTCGCCACCCTGTTGACCCTGATGTACCCTCGCTGGTCCTCGATAACCGTTCCGCTGTCGCTGTTCGTCCTCTTCCTCGGCATCATGAGTAAATAACTCAGCGACATCTGTACACGTTCTAGTTAGAGTGGCGGCCATGTTTACTTTTGCAGACGAAGTCATCACGTACAACATCGGCGTTTTACCAAGCCAGTTCTACGTGGTGCTCGGCGGCAAGGATGAAAATGGGTACAACAGCCTGGTAATTCGCGCCATGTTAATCACCATCGGCAAAGCATTGGTACCCGTTTTCTTACTGTTCGTCATTGTGTCTAAAATGAAAAACAATGTTGATTTTTTTTATAAAAAAAATGTTCATTTAACAAAAAATTATTACATTGGAGGCATGAAATTTACAACTTACTAGTAATTTTTTAAGCAACAACCTACCGCGTTTTCTTCTTCTTTTCCGCCAGATCGATTCTTTAAATTATGGAACTCATGGTCAATTTTTTGCCTCCCATGGAATAATTTGACCTTACGGCGTAAACAACATAAGCTGTTCGTACACGAGGATATGTCCAATGACGAACAATTCCTCCAAAACCAAATTTCCCGGCGTACTGCACCGCCCCTTTGCTCCTAGTTGCCCGGATGGGACCACTTAAGCAGACCCCGGGCCCATGGTTAGCTGTTCGCTGAAGCACAGTCGTAGTACAAATATATCTTAATGCTGATGCAGTTGCATATGATGAGTCCTATCCTGCCAAGATCCTGCAGAAGCCCCTTTGAAATACCTTCTTCCTCCCAGGCAATTAAGAACAAGGAAGCGATTCAGTGCACCATGAAGCATGGTTTTGGAGGAGTTATGCGCTCTTCTGGCAGCCTGCAGTTATGCATTTCTACGGCAAGAGTTGGACATCGGGTAACTCCATTTCCCCTTGTCTGAAACTCTTTAGGCTTTGTACTGCAACCTCCAGTCGCGGAGGCATGCTCCCTAAGTAAACTGTTTTCATCATCATGTACTTTTCTGAGAAGTACCATTACTTTCCCTTTTGTGGCGTACAGAGCCATCTTTATCGTTAGAATGTACACTGTTTTTTTAACAGGTCAACATGCGCAATATTTCTGACTTAGCTTGTCGCCTCAAGCCGATAACTTCTTCCAGTGAACAAAAGCAAATAGGTTTTTGCCACTTTGCTGAATGTATGGTACGTCAATTAGCAATTTATCCGCTACCACTGCTCAGCCTGATCCTTTATATATCTGTAGCTATATAAAGATAAACGGCGATGCCCTGTGATATCATCTGTTCGAAAAGAAGGACTGTTGTTAATCCTTTCAGCGCTAAACAGTGACCAATCCAATTCGATCATTTCCTATACGGTGCCAGGTCCCGTATGGTAGCCAAAGCATAGCAAACGTCGACTAGAAGACCATCATGAAAACGGAGGAATGAAGTGGTAGAAGATCTGCTTTCAGAGTGGAACCGATGCTTTATAGCAGGAATGTTAGGAAGCTGCGAATACAGTCACCTCTCAAGAACTTTCTTCCTATACAAGGGTCCCATAGTGACGATCTCGGCAACTGAAAACACGCCTAGGTCCTAGAAGGAGAATCGCTCAATTGCTTGAGCATCATGTCTACAGCCCAACTCTTGTGCCTTGCTTGTTTGCAGGCTCGCCACCTATCTGTGTGCCTCCCCCAGTTGTGGATGAGGATCTAAGTTCGGCAATCCAGCAACTCGTATTCAAAAGGAACGAAAAACAGGTGTTTAACTGTTTTGACGACGGTCACCTGACCATGTACTTCCATAACTTTTGCAACACCTTAATAGACGTTATGGCAAAGGTAACTTCCATCATCACGTCATCAGCTAGGTACAAATAAGTACCGTACTTGTTTTACAAAATTCAATGCCATACATCGTCTAATTTCCTGTTTCCTCCCCAATTGTAGTACTCATTTGCATACCTAGGAAAGAGGACGGGTGACTTTTTTGGTTGGGATCTGAACCCCACATCTTTCGACTCTGAATCCGACGTTTTAACAACGCAGGTACTCTTCCGTATTCAGAAGAGCCATCTGTCAAAACCATGCGCTGAGGAACTTTAAAATGACACATGCGTTTTTGATAGACCACAAAACTGTGAGTGCCGCTTTTGTAACGACCCAAGCGATGCCAGGAACAACGATCCTGAGTCTCGCCTTTGTCGTTACGCGAAACAGCATATGTTGCGAAACTAGCTAAACATTCTGAGCAAATACATCGTGTTCTTCTTTCACTTGATCCTCGAAACAACAGTTGATTTTTGTAACTTTTTGGCGTTTCTTGTTTCCAACCATTTCTCACTTACAATCACCATTGTTCGTCAAAAATTGGTGTAGCAGTAAGTATCCTGAGCATCTGCATGTTCTGTTTCGTCCATACGCTTCCTCTCAACCACTAGAGCACCTTGTCGTCTTCTATGCAGCCTCAGTTACCAGTGCCGGTTTTGGAAAGAGTGAACAGTGTAAACGAATCGCCATTATCCTTTAAAATTGTGTATTTGCATAGCAGGAAACCGCTGGGAATTAGGCAACTGAGGTTCCCAAATTGGTTGAACTGATTCTCATTGTTTCTCTTAGGAATTTGACGTTCCAACGAGGTTTCTTACAATTTTGACTTCTGTATGTCAATCAGGAGAGGTCTGCTTTTCCTGCTTTATTGTCATTTGTCAGTGAGGACGGCAAGTAGCCATTTCTGTCATATATGAATCGTGGAAGCTTCATGAGGCACCTTAGCAGCTATTCTGGGTGAAATGAATTTTCTTAGGCGCAAGCGTATGTTGTTCTTTTCTAAATGCAAAAAATGCAATTAACGCGGATGACACATTTCTGTTTGGTAGGTGTTGGTCGTTGGTTTCTTCACGGTTAAACCTGTTTTAGTTTGATTATCATCACGATGATTGACGTGCACATTAAAATAGTAAAGTCTGGAAAAGTTTTGGTTTAAAACTCATTTGTTTTCTAAATGATTAACGCCCAGGTTCAAGTAGGTCAAGGTTAAAAAGTACACGGTACAGCTGAATAATTGGAACTGAGCAATTTTCATAACGATGCAGGTTGAGTCTTGTGACTGGGTGAGGTCAGTCGCCATCGAGCTCGTCCCAGGGGGTGCGGGTGGCACTAGTTGACTCAAAAGAATCCTATGTATGTTCTGGTTTCAAAGTAATTGTGAAGGAAGCGCTATGAGGGGCGAAAATGATAAGTTTGGTTCGATGACCGTTTGGGACACGACAAATCTGTAATGCGATTAAATCAGTTGATGAAGGCGAGTTGGAACTGGGCAAACAATCGACCAAATCAGGGTGCAAAGTGTCGCCTTTTCCCTCTAAAAAATGTCAGCGCATTTTTGCCCCACCTCCCTCTTTATCGAA